AGTATTATGAATAGTGAAAGATCATCTTATTTAAAATATCAAAAAACAAAACATATACAGTACAACTTGTAAATAAAAGGCAAATAAACTCAAATCTTCATTACAGAACGAATGCTTGAGATTAGTGGATTCTAAATCTAAAAATTGCAAGTAATAGTGTTTCTTTTTATCTTTATATGAGTGTAATAACTGTAATAAATAATCATGAGTTTTTTTATCTATTGTTAATAACCCATTAAACCCTTGCATTCAGGCTTTTTATGTTCTATAGAAGAAAAATTTGGTAAAATACAAGACACACCTTCAACGGCAGTTAATATATTATATTGGGAATTGGTTGGAGTTCAAACTGAGCATTTAGAATTAGCAGTATTTGGGTTCTATAATGAAGAAATTTTATCAGAAATACTTACTGACATTTAATTTTTTCCATTATTTATAAAGGTGAATAAGTTTTCTATAGTAGTTTCAAAAATCAGATATTCTTTATGTGAAGATCTTCTATACACTGGTCCTGATTACACATCATCTTTATTAACACGCCATAGTTCAGAACTAACCTTATTTTACAACAAGTTTTAAATAATAATTATTGTAGTTTACGGGTCTTTAAAAGTAGAAATGAAGTATACCAATATGTTGATGAAACACCAACTGTTGTTTGGAAGAAGTACAGAATACATAAAAGTAGGGATCATCTTGCTTTTTTTGGGCTAAAAGATCTGAAAGTTCAGGCATTGCTAACAAATAAAAAAGAAAATATAATATGCACAGCATGTCAATAGAATTATACATTAATTTTACAGCAAATTTTTAACCTGTATATTAAAGGTAGAAAAATTTCAATGCCTAATGAAGATTGGCACATTCTTTTTACTAAATAAATCATATAACAAAGTACAATAGTTTGGCTGACATATTTTTTACATAGTGTATATCCACCTGGCTATTTAATTCAACACAAAGAACTAACAGCTTGGCATTCTATGCTTTGAGCTTGTAGATGTACGAATATTATGCTATATTCCAAAGAGGAGTCTCATGTTAAATTTTGATATGTGCTGTAGATCCTAGAGCTGATCGGCAAACTCTAAAAAACCTATATCAGTGGGAGTTAATTCAGATAAAAGACCAAAATTCTCCATTTAATATTACTAAAATTTGTCAATTCTGAGAAATTAATAAAAGAAAAGCTAGTAGAAAAATTCGAATACTGTCTATTATCGCACTTTACTTTAATTATTAGGTTTATTAAAGAGAATTAGAAGTAAGACATCAAGTAATTTTTTTTTATAAATTTTATTAATACAATATAATGTATTGTTAAATATAGATAATGCCAAAAACTATATGCAAAGTTAAAAAACATTCTTGACTCTATAGTGCTAATGCACCACCAATAGAAATGCTAAAAAAAAACAACCAAATTAATGGCCAAATTTAAAGAAAGACAGTTCGAAATATTTTTTTCTGATAAAGACAATGTTACAATGAGTTCTTATAAGACAAATCTGAAAACTAACTTGCCTATTCTTTATTTATGTAATAATAAAACTTCACTTTGGAGAAAATTTTAGCAAACCTTCCCCAATAAGATGAAAAAAACCTTCTTTATAGGTTGTATTTCAAATTGTATACATTTAAAATATCAGTGCAATTTGGGTGGTCTTTGTAGAATTTGTAGCGATTACAGTTTTAAATCATTTGAGAATTTAATTGGAATTGTGCAAAACACATTTACTGACAAGATAGAAATAGTATTAAGAATTTTTTTTTTTATTAAAATTCAATTTTTTTAAGACAATGCAATTTTTTTTTTGTTAACAAACTTTTTTGTAGCAATTTTTCTTGTTAACAACCTTTTTTTTATTAGAAATGTTTTTTTTGTTGACAAATTTTTTTTGTTAACAAATTATTTTTAGCAATTTTTTTTTTGCTAGTAAATTTTTTTTTTTTGCTAGCAATTTTTTTTTTTTTTGCTAACAATTTTTTTTTTTTTGTTAGTAATTTTTTTTTTTGCTAGCAATTTTTTTTTTTTTGCTAGTAATTTTTTTTTTTGCTTCAACTTTTTTTTTGTTAGCAAATTTTTTTTGTTAAAAAATTTTTATTTTTTTTTTTAGCAAATTTTTTTTTTTGTTAGCAAATTTTTTAGTTTGCACTTAGTGTATGAACATGATATTAGTTAATGGTTTGCATATTTATATAACATACAACTAAAACCCAAAACAATTTTATAATCAAAATTTCAAGAATTTATAATACCTGTATATATACGCATAGTATACAAACAGGATTCTTTTTTTTCTGTTATTTTTTACTTTTAAAATAAAGCTTCATTGGAATATATAGTTTGATTTATTAGGAAAATTTTTTTATTAAAGCAAAAAAAAATTTTTTTTATTAGAATAAAATACTTTCACAAATCAAGCAACTGTGATACCATTTAAGAGAGATTTTGAGCAAGAGTTAGTAATAACATTAGATGGAAAAATTTCACATGATTCTTATATTGATCATTGTCTTATCTATGCTTTTGGAGAATGCACAGCTTTACATCTTTCAAGATATTCTAAGTGTGTACAATTTTATAAGTTTTTTGATCAGTTAGTAAACTATGTAGCCAATGAATACATAGCACAATTACACAAAATTTAGGAGTGATTAAAACATTACCTAGTCCACCAAGCATAAAAAGCTTATCTTAATGCTCAATTCAGAGCAACTTTAGCTTAGTTGGACTCTGAGTGTATTTTAATTGTTGCTGATTATAAGATGAGGATTTTTCCAAAATCAGCTTGTGAAACTAAGAAAGATTTTTTTGGTAAAAGAGGTTGAACTTTGCACACAATACTAGTTTTTAGAAATATAGAAAATCAAGACATGTTAGATGTTTGGGTATTCAACTATTGGTCTACTAACACAAAGCAAAATGCTTAGTTCACAGCATCTTCATTTGAAGCTGTATTTGATTTAATAAATCAAGAACCAAAATGAATAACTGTAATTTCTGATAACAGTGCACATTATTACAATTCAGAGTTGATGACTATCATAGCCCATTGGCATACTTGGTATTCTATTAAAGTAAAATGATATCTGTTTTTAGAGCTAAGGGAAGCTAAAACAACCATTGACTCTCATTATGCAAACTTGATAATTTTTTTCTTCTCTTTTGTAAATTTTTTTTTAAACTAATAAGATACTAACATCTTAAATGCTTTAATACCACATTAGATTAGCCACAGCATTAAAAGATATATCCAAGTTGGGTTTGACTTGAATGAAGGCAATAATATAGTTGAGGCGGCAAAAAGGCTTGCTGGAATATTGTTAGCCAAAATTAAAATTAATCGTGATGATAGATATAGTGAATCAGAGGCTGAAGACATTAAATCAAATAAAAAAAAAGTGGTTCAAAGCAAAAAAGCAAAAATCAAAACTATAGCTAGAATCTCAAAACTGTATTGCTAGGAATGGCCCATTAAAGGGCTATTTGCCAGATTTATCTGTGCTAAAGAACTGCTCCACATAGGGTTATAATAAAATTTTCACATACAGAATCTAATGCAACTATTATTCATTCAAAACCTGTAGTTTCGGCATACACAACACCTGTACCTGATTGGACTATACTAATTACAGCAATAAAAGGTATGCTGTAACATATGAATAACTTGTTAAGAAAAAAAGATAAAAAGAAAAATTGGTGATAAATTGTAGTTCCTTCGAATAATATATCAATAGAAGATATAAAATAGAAGGTAAGCTGTATTTTACAACATGGTTGCAATAAACTACTGACTTATATTATTTGTGAGACAGATGTCATAGAATTTAGTGGAAAGGAGGATTGTCTCCTAATAGATATTGAAGGTAGGAACTACTTTTAATTTCTTGAACATTCATCATGTTAATTTGTATAAGGTAAAAAAATAAAATAATATTGTATTTTGTATTATTCTTTTAGGGAGCTGACAAATATTAACTAATTATAGCCCCTCTGGGATTTTTAATTTGACCTCCCAGGGTCAGTTATTTGATCAATATAAATTATTATATATGATAAAATCGAATTTATCACATGACAAAATCAAATTTGCCATATTTGTACAACAATTTATGTAATAAAATTGAATTTATTATGTGACAAAATCAATTTTATCACATAAATTGTTGTACAAATGTGGCAAATTCGATTTTGTCATATGATAAATTCGATTTTATTACATATAATAATTTATATTGATCAAATAACTGACTCTGAGAGGTCAAATTAAAAATCCCAAGGGGGCTATAATTAGCTAATATTTGTCAGCTCCCTTAGAAAACGATACTGAACAGAGTGAACAAAACACATTCATTCATTTTCAAAAGTCTACTAGAATAGAAAATTTTAATAAAATTGAAGTTTAAATAAATGAACAAAATTCATTCTCTATTAACAAAAATCAGCTTAGATGAATAATAAGAACACATATTCTGATTAAATCAAAAACAAATTGATGATTTTTTTACTTACTTTGTACTATTTACTTAGTAAGTGATGCTGGAATGAATGAACATCATGCATTTATTAATTTTCAAACATCTGCTAAAACAAGAGATTTTAGCAGAATTAGAGTTTAAATAAATGAACAAACTGCATTTATTCATCACCAAAAATCTGCTAAAATGAAAATTTTAATAGAATTGGAATTGGAATTGAAATGCATAAACAAAATATATTTATTTATAATCAAAAATCTGCTAGAACAAGAGATTCTGATAGAATTGGTGTTGAAATGAATGAACAAAACACATCCATTTATTATCAAAATTCTGCTAGAATGAAGATTCTGATGGAATTGGAGTTGAAATGAATGAACAAAATGCATTTATTTATCATCAAAAATTTGCTGAAACAGATAATACTAGCGAAAGATATGTAAAATCATTAGCATAATTTATTTTAAGATTATTTTGAATTTACTAGTGTGAATCTTTTTAGAAATATTGAAGAAATGTTTCAAATGGCTAAAGGTTGGGCATCTCCCACATATGCTAAATTTAGAAAAAAGGGTGATGAAAAAAGAATCAAACCAAAAGTTGTAAATATTTTAAAACAATTTTTTTTAAATGAAAACCTAAACCTCAAGGATAAAATGATAGCCAAAGAGATGCGTGATGAACTTTTGAAGTTTATGCATTTTGGAGAAATCAAAGAGGACCATGTGCCCCAATTAAACACAATCAAAAGTTGGATTGGCCATTATTCTAGGAAATTTAATTAAGAAGGAACAGCCATCACGCTTGAAACTTTTAAAGCTGCGAGTTTTTCACTTGAACAAAAATTAGTAAGTATCTGCACTTCATCCTATTTTAAATATCAAATTCACAAAAATTGTTAAAAATAGGGTTAAGAAAAATGAATATAAGACATTTGTTTATCATCAAAAATCTTCTGGTATGTGGGAGTCTAATAGGTTAAGTTGGCTATCACTAACAAAATGGAATTGTTGTTAATAAATTATATTTATTTGTTATTAACACTGCTAAATACATGTAAATGAAATATAAATAGTTTATATAATAAATAAAATACAATTGAAATATTTCAAAATTACCACATATAAAATAAATATTTTTTATTTAGATTGTATAATAGATATATAATAGTCAAATATACATACTATACACACTATTTATTAATATAAAAACATCTACAAAAAAGAATTTTTCTATAATTTATATTTAGATAATACAGTAATTGAAAATTTATCATTATATTGAGTATTATAATAACAAGTTATTTGAAAATTAGATCAATATTCCCAAACTAAATTGCTACAAAAAAAAAACTTGTGAAATAACATAATGCTCAAATTATATATTATCTCACACATATCCTCTTATTATAGCATAACTTCGAATATATAGACAATGATACAATATACAGTTAATTCAGATACTACTCAAATGACTTTTCTTATCTTTGGTATGCTTATGCCAATTCTGCAACAGTTTTCAAGATTATATTGTTCATTTAAATTGCTATCTTTAGCAGATTTTAAATACCATACAACTACCTTTGTTTTATCCTTGGCTGCACTTATGTCTTTGTCATAGCAAGTTCTAACTTTAAATTGTCTGTTCAAATTGCTATTAGATCTGTAAGTGTTAATAGAAAACAATGTTTGATTAGCTGATTTTAACCGATCTCTTAACTGGTTAAATCAATAAAACAAATTAATAAAATATAGAATTTGACCAGTTAATATTTTTTTTGGGGTTCCAATCCATAATATGGTTCCAAGAAAAGTGCACTTAGTAAGGCCTAACTGTAATCTAATAACTCTTAAATCATCCATCACAAAGGTCGTTTGCTAATTTTTCTCATGAGACAGCATACTTAATAACTAAATTTTTTGATCGTAAATGCCATAGTTATATACCATTTCAGTCAAGTATATAAACTAGTTTTTTTTGAAGAACCTGTTATTAAAATCCACTTCTTTTACCAATAAAGTAAAAATTGAACCAGTCTAAAATAAGACAATCTTCAGCAACTATGCTATAACTTTAAAATAAACCAAAAAAAAGGTTTAATAGACTATATGAGTTGCAGATTGTGAAAACACAAGTTGTTTAATACTTAAAAAGAGGTTAAGAAGGCCATAATATGGTAATAGTTCTATAAAAACTGCATTTTAAGAATTTGAATGTAAGTGATTGTGAAATAGAAAATTACTCAACCCCTGATTGGATTTTACACTATTTCATAGCTGAAAAACAATTTTACCTTTTTTTTATTGTTGCATTAAATAAATCTGGTAAGTTTTATATATCTTTTTAAATAAAACAAAGAAAAGTTGAAATCGAAATTACTAAAAACTTTGAATTATTTTGGCCCGAATGTGCATGTCTTACTGGGTAAAGTCTCGAGATTTTACAGTAAAGAAGAAAATTTACTTAACTCACTAATTCTACAGGTTATATTCTATCGAATTTGAAAAAAAAACATTGAATTTATTTGAATATAGTATTAACTTATTATAAGGTCAAAAAGACACGTCAGAAGTTCTTTATAATTGATCACTGCCATGTAACCATATGAAATTTCTACCCTTTAACTGCAATCTACTACTTAAATTTTTTCAAATACTTTAATCTGATTAAGAAATAAACTTGTTAAATTTTATAAGCACTAACTATAAAAATTTAAAAAGAATGATTTCTTGATTAGATTACTATTTTTGAAAATATAATTGATGTTCATAATAAAGTAAGTTAAAAATCATTTGATAATAAAAATTTAACATTTTTTATGTCGTAAAACTTTCAATAATTACCATTCTTTACATATCATAAAAATGATCTTCATACCGGTGACTTTTGTCTGGAGGTGTACGGTATGTAAGGATGGCAAAAGTTATTTATTACATAATTAAAAGCAGGTAATGATTATTACATTAACTGTATAATTAACTATTCAGACATTAACAATCACCTATTTTTAATCAGTGCAAAAGTGCTTAAACCTGTGTACAGTACGTCAAATTAAAATTTGCGTCAGATCAAAAATTAAAAAATATACACAGACCGAAATAAAGCATATTAGGCAAATATCAGTTTTTTAGTCCCGATATGACATTATTTAATGTCTCGAATCGCGACATTCTCCGTTCATGTCAATATTGGTAGAAATATCAGTAGTCCGATATATAGATGGGTGACGAAATCATTTTCGCAATGACAAATTGACGAAATTATTTTCATAGTGACGAAATTGACGAAATACTTATTTCGTCAAATTTCGTCAATTTCGTCACCCATCACTAATCCGATAGAGCTGTTAGTTAGAATTGACATGAATCTGAAAATGTAACTAATAAAACTATGAAATCTATCTGATATACAGTATCTTATTTGAACCGTATATAGCATTAAACATATTGTTAATTATACATATACGCCTTATTTATTTATTTATTTTTTTTATAGTGAGGTCTGGCCTCGATCTTTATTGAATAATTACGCTTTACATTGTTTAAATGGATTACATGAATTATTACAGGGACCTACATCTAGGACTAATTTATCCTCAACCCAAAACTCTACTAGAGTGGGCTATTTGGCCTCCACTAGATTTAGTTACATATACGCTTTATTCGAATCAAATTGGCTATTTTTTGAATATGTTATTATTTATTTCGTCTGCTCGTGGATTAAATAAAGTTAATATTGACAATCGATGTTCAAATTAACATGAGCGATCTTAAAGTCGTTTAATCAAAATTCAATTCATTCGCTTCCTTAATTACTGCTATGCAAATTTTAAAAAGTATAATTAATAAACTAAATACAAAATTTTTTCGATCAACATGCGTACTAAATTTATCATGAGTATTACAATATGTTATAAATAAAACTAAACACAAAATTAATATTGTGTAACTAGGCGCTTGAGTTGTGTAAAGGGAGTCAGAAATAAATATATTATTATAATATATTGGTATATTATGTATTAGT